ACACTAACTCGATTACTATAGCCTAACGTTTGTCTAGGTATATAGTAATCCAGTCCGTTATCCACGACTGAGGCCTAACGTTTGTCTAGCCCTTATAGAATGGCGGGGGGATGGCAGCAGCTTTGAATGTGCGAAAGTCTTTATCAAGACATCCCGGCGCTTTCCGGACAACCACTAGCAGACTTGTCCAGGCTTCAAGTTGCAAGAGACCTGAAGGCTTTGATGGTCGACCGTGGCAGATATGATAGCCAGGAGAGTGACACCGATGAGAGCACTTACAATTCCAATGCGTCGGACTGTTGTTAATGTAGGCATTCCGATCATATAGTAGAGGACGTGGGCGCGGCGCGCTTAAATTCTAGTCCAATAATTTTGTACAAAAGACGTGTATATGTCAGCAGTAATGTGAATCATGTATCCTACAAACTATATGGCTCCCGCCGTCTGATGCACTTGGGCTGTGGTCTCTTCCATTCCCCTTTGTTTGGGTCTGGCCATAATGAACCACTATCCCATTGGGCTTGAGGTGGTGCGCCGGGAGTCCGGACAAACCCAAACGGCCAAGTAGGCAAATAGCACATCTCCTATACCACGAGGTCAGTCGTTTCGCAAACAAGTAACTTGATTGTGTTACCTCGAAACCACAGGCCGGTCGGCACTTCACCCACACGCTCCAGTCCAACCAGGAGATTAACTGCGCTACATCCTCCTTCCATTCGCCCATGAGAGTATCTATGTGATCAACTTCAGGGCGTCGTTCCGGAGGATAAAAGGCGTCGACTCCTAAATTCATTCCGGAAGCCCACATCTTCGTGACGACGCGACATATTTCATGCGTAGTTTCCTGCACCGCCTGCAGGAGTAAATGTTCGGAGGGCGTCAGTGTTGTTCCACGAGACGCTATGGAGGCCGTGTGCGATACAGCACATTCCCGAAAAACTGGCGCAGCCCACGAATTTGTCGCGTTGGCGGCGACGGAGGTACTGGGAGGCAGAGCTGCAAGCACAGTGTAGGGCAAAAGCACGTTGCGCAGCTGTCTCTGAATTTGTTGTGCGTGGTCAAAGATCGACCCATCGTCCAACGTCAGGTTCAAAAGGTGCTGTATGAACTCCAGCCGGCTGGCATATCGATCGACCACCACGCGCAAGGCTGTTCTCCAGTCAATGCCGCTGGTTGTCGAGGGTGGTCGTGTTAGCGCTTGAGTGAGCCTGTCTTGGACACGTTCTATATCCTTCGGTGATATTCCTGCCACTCGGTGATCCCACCGGTCCAAACCCACACGACGCGGCACCAAGGAGGGAACAAGAGCGGTGTCGTAGAAAGACACAAGCCCAGAAAAATCAAGCATAATCCGGGTTTCTCCTGGGTAATTTTCGCGCCATGAAGCAGAATGCATTAATTCAAGAACGTGACGCGCTGATGTCCAAGAATAAATCAGACCTACGTCAAAACATGGACAGTCACTCACTAGTATTGGGATCCTCTGGCGGATCCAACGGGTGGGCACTGATGCGAGTGCTCTCAAGTTTCAAGAGCGAGACGACCTCCATGTGAGAGGTGAAGTTGCAGATCATGATTTCACTATGACCGTCGTCAATAACAAATCACCAAGGAGCACGTATGGATTCGCACAAATTCATTTCCATCCTATGACTCACAAATCAGCATCAGGCATTCAGGCGCACGCATCTCAAAATCCAACGAACCTCACAAAGCCGTTCACGCCATACTTCTCACCCCATTTACACAGATCCTTTATGCGCCGCCCTTCATTCCACACCCGCTCGGGCTTCATTTCCGACCATGCCACGAGATCTTGGGTATCCATAGTGCCCTCAGGGAGTTTCGCAGCGCTGTTTCCGTCAAAATAGAGCACTTTCATCGGCCGAGTGACTGTAAGGGTGAGGAGCCAACACCCTGTTTCATTTGTCCCTCTGCAGAAAAATGTGGAGTGTTCTGGTTCCACAGCCACCCAATCCAAGGCTGTCGGTAAATGGGGACTGGTGAGAGCTCCATGGTAGAGGACAGTGCCTACGGGAATAGTCCCTGGGACTATTGTATGACCTGCAAGCAAATGATGAATCGCGACCCATCATATTGGAGTTGCAAACATACCAATACGATGACGGGTATTTGCCCAATGTTGAAGCAAGGAATTGGCCGTTTCAAACACCAGATGTCCTGTCGCGTTCACCCCAGGTCCTTCATCAAGGTTCCATTGTCCAAGATCACTTTCGACTTCCGGGTAAAAGGATGAAGGCGTATGACTTGACAGAGGTATCTGTGCAGTGAGAACCCGCTTAAAGGCAAGAGAGAGCCAGACGGCTGCGGCTTTCCTTGTAAACAGCATTTCGACGAAGGGTCCAGGGCCGTTGTAAGCTTAGTTATACACTCAGTGAGTGCATCCACAAAGTTGTGGTTCGATTCCCTTTACGCAACCCTCGGCGGCTAGCCCTAATGGGCGAATTCAGTAGCGATTGAGATAGCAGTTTTCGATGCTGATTGTCTCAGATGATCGATGATAAGAATAATGATGGAAAATTGACGCGATATTGTTTCCTGAACTGTTGTGCATAGCAACGATCGTCGGGTACTTATGGGTAGTTAGTCTGCTGTCACCGTAGTCAGAGTCAGACGTGGAAGGAAGATAGGTATGGCTGTAATATTTGTCAATGATAAGGCTGAACACTCCGCTCGTAGTTCGGTATCGACTGTTCTGCACAGCGTCACACCCTGTCACCTCACGTGAGATTTGTCACGACTTCGTAATCCAAATGTAACTCGGAATAGTGACCAGTGGCTTAGCGAAGCCCAAGCCAGATGCAGATCGTGTTCTTAGCACCTGCTGCAGTCATCCGTCTCCTAGGATAAGAGTCTATTAACTAGAGCAAGAGGCACGCTAGAATAGTGGGGATGGCTACTCTGAAGTGTAGCGAGCGGGGATGTGGGAGCTAGAACAAACAGTACGATCTCAGTCTTTAGAGATGCGCATTGGCGCTTTTATGGTGAGTGAAAACTTCAACTATGATTTGAAATTTTGAATGACAGACATAATATTCAGGACACGAGCTGACATCATAGCTTCACTCTCTCTCTTTCGCCTGGCGCTCGGACCTATGTCTGGTCCCTATATTGGATCTGTCGGACTCCAACAATGTCTATCACTATTACCCCAACCGCGCCGACCTTAGTCCAGTTCTGTTAGTAATTACACTACTGAGCCTATATACCTAGTGGGAGTACAAGACATGTGACACGACTGCAACTGCGTCCGATGACCGGCCAGCTGCATTCAGTGACCATGACCCACTGGTAGGGTATTTTACGATTGGGGGAGCTAAATGGGGTAGGAAGCTTTAAACCTCGGGCCCAAAGTCTCGTGGCCTTAGCACATCGAAACCCTATGTAAATCGACTCACCGAGTTTTTTTTGGCGGTCGTTTCCGAACCGAAAAGGGATCTGTAGTGTCGTCGCATATGATTGTGAGGAGTGAACTAGTGACATCCGGGGCCGGTCCGGGGGTAGGCAGATGCAGTGTGGCAAGAATATCACAAGGAAAACTTCGATGTTCCAAGTACTTAATCTATGAGACCAGTAGATGGCGAGTCCAAGTCCTTCAAGTTGCATTGTAACTCCATAACCATTCTCTCATCTACCACTGTTGCCGGCACTACTAGTCCCTCGCCAACATGCGGTGGTTTCGCAAAGTCGAATGCTCTACTTCCGTATTGGATCCCAGTCCAAGGCAAATTCTCCGTGCATCCGAGTTCTTCCCCATCACAGATGTCTTCTAGTCGAGCGAACTCATTATGTGCCATCAGTGAATCAGTGAACAAATGAGAATGATATCTAAAGCAAATTAATGCAAAGCATCACAATCTTCGTGAAATGATTGTCTGCCCACAACCATAGATGTCTGCGAGTCGCCAGAGGAGGCTTTGCTGCCTTAGTGAGGTAAATTGAATGGTATTAATTTGGAGAGGAGAAAGAATTGGAATCACGAGAGAACAGCAAAAACTGGCAAAAATAGTTGGTTGGTGGGAACTAAAGTAATGAAACATGTCTCAAGACCTAGTAAGTAGCGGAATTAAACCAGCCTAATGAGTGTTGGATGGCTGGGAAGTTGTGGGAGTGCTGGAGAGTACAATTCGATGTGATCCGGTATAGGAAAGATGTTGGTGCATTTAGGATTAGTGCTAGAGGGTGCAATTAGTGACAGTGTTTGCTGAGGGTGAATGAGGCGATGAACGGTATGAATTGTGGGTGTAGCTTGTCGGTGTGTCTTGGCGTTGAGCGCTCAGAGTCGCACTGTGCAAATGGGTGATGAAGATCAGTATCTGTGAGAGAAGTCAGCAAAGACAAGAAGGATAGTAAAGCATACCGCAATATGAATGGAAAAGTGTTCGCGTTCATAGCTCGTTGACAGGTGAGGTCGATGTCAAGTGCTTTAAGCTGAGAGAAAGATGCCAGTTCGCACAACTGCAACATGCACAGACATGCACTAACGTGTGGAGACAAGGATAGCAGCAGGTCTTAGGAAGTGGCTGATTGGTGCTAGCTCGTGTGGTCTGTCGTCAGTGAAAGCAGCGGAGCGGCAGAATTGACCAATCGCATCAGAGAAGTACTTTGTAAGATATAAGTACCTTCTACAAAGACCAAGTTAATTTGCTCGCTCGAAATTTTCTGTATGCTGACGCGGGCTATTTCTTGCGGGAATTAGGAGATGTGATGATGGTCATTCAAACCGTTTGCGGGGACGAGTTGAGAAAGATCAAGAAAGATATTGGAAGGTATTGGAAATAAAGAATATGCAGCCAACCTGGGAGTTAAATGTGTGGGTGGCGAAGGACACGCAACAGTTCGAGTTAGTTAGAGATCATCGTGAGGTGTGTTGTCGTCGACAGCGACAATGCACGAAGATTGCCGCGTGACCGCGGGACGTTCCGGTGTCGGGGGCCTAATTAGTAATTACCCCACACCTATGGTTAGACCGCTCGACCACCGCCTTGCGCACCGAAGCCGGTTATAACCGGTTATCCGCTTCATGCACAAGGCAATAGCTGAGCGCTGAGGTCTCTTCATCTCCTTGTGATAATCCTCGTCTTCTTAAACACCATCTTAATCATGCCTGCAAGTAAAATCTCAGTGAACGTTTCTCAGGGTATCGCGACGATAACCTTGAATGAACCTCACCGTCTGAATGCGCTGACACCAGAAGGTTTGTGGTGTGCTTGAGCAAACTACGTTGGCTGAGCTACCATCGACTCGCAGACTATAACGAATTTGCCAACTCTCTACGGGCCATCGATGAAAGAGAAGATGTAGTAGCAACTGTATGGAAAGGCAAGCAAGTTTCCAAATTTGTGGCAGTAGTTTTGATCTTTGCATCTTTGTACAGCAAATGGAAAGTGGTTCTGTGCGTAAGTCTGCAGTTCACCCACAGAGCAAGCATTTCGTTACTTACAGTGCTTGTTTCGGAAAGTGGCACGGACGTGAAGCGCACGACAAGCAGCGAGCCGAACACTCCGACTACTCAACGCTCGATGAGGGATTGCCTCATCAATGGGGTAGTGGCCGCGAACACAGACTGCACACATGCCGTATGTCACAATCCTTACTTTTTCATAGTGTTGGCGACCGATTATTCCTATCATGAAAGATCTATAGTCACAGCAAAATTCTTGTTGCAGCACTGAATGGGCCGGTGATGGGTATGCAACTTCCTTTCTAAATGTCTAGCAAGCAGCTCAAGTGACGACATCGAGGTTAGGCATAGCAGCTGGTACGTTCACCATAAATGCTATACGTGTCATCTCAAATAGGTTCCCATAGCTTTCCTTGGCAACTTTGATTTCATATATGCCGTACCAGAAGCCTGGTTGAATGTTGGCTTCCCATTCCTAGGTTCGCGCGTTTGATTGTTTTCTTTTATACACGCTGAAGACATGTACTCTTCAAGGCATTGCGGTGGAAGGAGGAGCTAGTGTTTCATTTGTCAGCCGCAGTAAGCGAATTCATTGTCGTATGACTTTTTCTCATAATATTGTCAAGTGGGTATCGCCAAGGCAAACGAGGTTCTCCTTCTTAATAAGAAGATTAGCGCATCAGAAATGCTTGAATGTGGATTCGTCAAGTGCGTGTTCCCACACCCGACCTTTCCCACCCCATCCTGATGATGATTTAGCAAAATATTTCCATCGAAATCAACAGAAGAATTCCACTCTGCAGTTCATCAACATCTCAAGAAGGAACTCGATGGTTTAGTTCCTGCCTCTATCTTTGCCATTAAAACCCTCATCAAAGCTGGTTTGAACGATAAGAACAACTTCCACGCCGTGAATCTGCGAGAGAGTTATGCCCAAGCGGAGAGATTTAGTAGCGGAATACCTGCTGAGCGCTTTGGCAAGATTGCTAGGAAAGAAATCAAGCATAAATTGTGATCTATGTGTGTATATTTGTCTTGCGAGTCTTGCCACCAACTAGCGCACCTGACTGACCAGGGACCACATGTATACCTGGCTATTTTAGTCATCATACCCCCTACAACAGGAATGTGGCAATTTGTACGCGAGGAGATTCCGAGGAGATGCAATATATTTGCGTGATTCATTTTTTCAATATCTTTGCAGTGATTGTGATTCCCGCTCTCAAGACTATCATGACCGGCAGCCGCCTGAGTTGGTCCGCTACTGAACGCATGGACGAGAAGTTTTTTCATGTGGAGGATCCACAAGACCCCACACGAGAGCACGCTGCCATACTGACCGAGACGCAGCTATCGGCACAGGTTTGGTCAATGCAACTGGTATTGTGATGCAATATTGCGCCTATCGAGGTCTGGACAGGTACGAACGCTATCCAACACGTTGGCCTAAATTTCACTCTAGTGAACTTGTAGCCTTGTATATCATTCTCGGCGAGTTGAGCCAACATCTCTTCGAGCCGCCTATTGACATCTCCAGTTGTTATTGTGAACTTGCTTGGTATACAATTTTTTGCAGAATTGGAGTTTTGGACGGGCGGTTTGAAGATCGTATTCCTCATGGGCCTGGTTCTTCCTGGCATTATTATCGATCTCGAAGGAAACACCCAACACGATCGCATTGGATTCCGATGCTGACGGCAACCAAACGGACCCAAGGGCAACTACATCGTCCACCAGGTGCACAATGATCAATTCGCAGTCTCCCTTGGATTCTGGAACACGTTAACCACTACGGTGCTTGCACACATCGGCAGCGATTTGGTTGCAGGTTGCGGCTTGAGAGGCACAGAACCTGAGGAAAATGACTCCTAGAGCTATCAAGTCCACATTGTTCGTATCTTCATGTTCTATATCGGATGCATATCTGTGATTGGTCTTATCGTGCGAGGCACCGGCACTGTAGGTGAGCCTATTAGGAGACAACCACTGATATGGTACTTTCAATCTATCCAATTTCTAGCAACTATTGGTCGTCAATAACTCGCATGCAGGGGCAGCATCACCCTTCGATGTTGACGGGTCATTGCGGATCTCCTGATCCATAGAACCAGCCTTCTCATTTCGTTCAGGCGCAACCCTGGCCGGAATCAAAGGGCTCGATCATGTCATCGATGCGACGGTTCTCTTTTTTTACCATCAGTGATATCTATATCGCGTCCGGGACACTACGGTCTCGCGATAGAAGGAAAGGCGGCGCCGCATATACTCACTAAACTGAACCAAAAGGGTGTCTCTGCTCGTTGTAAGTATCGTTATGCACTTGCTTAACATTCCTGAACGCGGGCACTGCAAGCGCTACGAGCGAGTCAATGACTTCATGTCGATCCATACTGGCACCGATGTTCGCATGTGGGTTCAACCTCCTCCCTGCATTTGGGGCCACCACCATCAGTGAACCTGGCCTGGATGACAATCGCTTACAGCCACATATAACAAGCAGTCGTTCCCCTTGGGAAACTATCGTGTGAACAGGTGTAGATGCTGTATACTTTATGCAGACGCTCAAGCTTCAAATCTTCAAGGCTTAAGGCGTCTCGCGCGATAAGTCTGCCGGATAAGGGACCGCTGGGGTCCCTGAGTTCATTCTGAACTTCTGGTTTAAATTCAAAGTAGCCTGACGTATTCGGTCACGCTAACGTAAGAACGCAGTTTTTTGCAGGGGTTCCATACTTTCTACCCTTTACGCCCGGACCATTCATCGCTTCGCATTCACGTTCTCACGGCCCTTCAGTCTTCGAGATACTTATAGGTCGTACTAGTACCTCCTAGTACCGTGTTTTTTTCTTTCCGGCTTGGATATCAACTACGTCACCGGATCCGTGTTACGTCCAAGGTCGATCCATCGGCAAACGGGAGTCCGGCAGGAAGAGGATAGATTTATATTGAGCGAAAGGCGCGAGAAGGTAAGATATCGAGATGGCGCGGCAGATGTGCTGTGAGCACAGCACTATTCGTGTGTGTTTCAAGTGACCGGTGTCGGTAACAACCAAACTCACCATGCTGCGTTTCGTGATGCACAATAGTGTTCGCTCACATTTATGTAAATCTGCTCAACGGCAATGCAATTTCAGGGTGCCTCTCAGATAACGACTGCTCGAGCTGGATAATTCCCTGAACATGTGGCATCTGCCATGGGTCGGACAGGTTTGATGAAGATCCAGCCTACGGGGAAGTCTGTCACAACTCACCAACGTTATCTTGCGATACTGACAGCGTCACAGCGCTTCTTCTCATTCAGACGTCATGTCCGCTGTCATCTCATGTGCCCGTTCGAACAGGCCTAACTAGGTTCAAGCGCGTACAGTTGATGGGGAGATAACTATTTTCACAGACTCATGCGGATATATGTGTTAGTTGATAAACGTGTGCCATCTGGTTTGAGTATCTATGTGCCGCCCCGCCCTATCTACGGGGTGTGTACTTTCTTTTGTAGAAGAAGCGCTAACCTGTTATTAATTCCCGTTCAAACGTTGCACGGCCGTGGGTTGATCGGTGGTGAAGTGAAACAAATTTCAGCTTCCAATACGGGTGGAGTGCCGTACAGCTCAGACATTATCAATCATGCCGTTAGAGTCGTGGCCCCCTTACACGTAGCTGTTGATGGCGATGGCAAGCTTACAGGTACTGCCAGTCTCGAAAAGATCCATTTGGCAATGTGGACTAGCCCCAGGCTGCGCACTGTATAAATTTACACCTCACTGCCCGTCGCTCCGAGGCATTGATTTGACTATTGCTTTCACACAAGGTCAGCGGACGCTTACGTCGTTGATCGGCGGCCAAAAAATAGTCGGTTGTGTGAGTAATCATGAAGTGCGGGGAATGTAACACGCTGCGGGATATGGATGCATTTTTTGTACCTGTCAGTATACCAAACGAGGCAGGATTATAATCATAGCGCACCATACGCGGTTGGATTCCTTGAATAGCAAACCCACCGAAGTTGGAAATAATGGATCGAGTCAAGAAGTGATTAAATTGTAGTAGTACATACAGACTGCATAGTAAAGGTAGGTCGTTGCGGGGAATGCTACAGATGCGAGTATATATAACCAGATCGGGAGGATAACGAAAACAAAGATCCCAGCAAGCCACAGTGGAAAAAAATATCAGTGGGGAGCCGAGGATAAAAGGTTGAACAAAGCGAGCTGATGCGATGAAACTGGCATTAAGTCCTGATGCGGGTGTTTGTATTAGGCAGCGTCACATCCGATCCTGTGAAAGTCTCGGGTTGAGGCGTATGCAAATCGAGTAAGACAGTTGCATTGTCATTCGTATTTAGAACGTCGCGTATTGACTTTTCTGCGAGGGAGCACATCTAAGCCAAATGGGTCAGCTTAGGAATCAATTACAGATAGCGCTCCACTAACTCGGCTGTATCCACCTCTTTGAAGAGTTTGCCGTGAGACCGCTATGGCATTGTGTATGCTATCATACGCGTAACGCCGCCTGACAAGCAAGCGAATAAGAGAGGGTAAAGTTCGGAGAATAAAGGGGTGCTTACAAAACACCTTCGAGCTCACGAGGGGACCGAGGTACGATGAATAGGTCAGAACCTGAGAGGTAGCGCGTAAATGCTTGATAGGATGCACATCCTGCAACGAGGGTCTCGTTGAATGAAGGATGGTCTTGGTCCCAGGTGAACCAATTTTCGCTGGCATGCCACAGAGATCAGATCATGCTAGAATTGAAAAAGGAACCGAACGTACGTTAAATGGGTGTGGGCCAATGCCTCTGAAGTGTTTGGGGCAAAGAAGCGATCCATGAAAGCTGAGTTGTGAAACGGGGTAGTACAAGTTGCGTACAAGGAGTGATATGAACAAGTTGCGAGGGAAAGGCACAGAGGCTCTGGTTTATATAACAGTTGGCTGTTAGTGGTTATTAATATCTAGTAAGCGGTTGTGGATGTGGCTAGGCGAAAGCGGTACTGTTAGTGCAACTGGTATTGTGTAGTGGTCCTGGCGTTTTCCGGGAGAACAGCTTTTTATGAAAATCATTGGTTTCCGTTTTGAGATGCCCTTCGCACGTTTGAAAAGTACGCGCCCAGGGTCATAATGACTCAGACCGCGGCTAAATTCATGATCTCCACCTTCTCCACCCTCCGATGCCAAACTCTGTCACGTAGTATTTCTGCACAAGCTATTCTAAAAAAGTACTATGAAGGGCCTCCGATACACCCGGCTGTGGAGGCTTGCCTAGACGAGCCACGGATCATCATCGTCATCACAAAGTCAACCATTGGCCAGCTACCGTGCCACATCATTGACCCACACTTGGCGGTTCTAGGTTTGACTTGGCGAGTCTTCGAGGCGTTCTCCACTTCTCTATATCAACTTCGAATGCCTATCAGAACCCTTGGCTCGATGACCAGCTGTTACTTGGCGTTTTCTCCGTAGGCTCGGTCTCACAGAAGTTCCAACATTGTGCAGGCCCCCGCAGCTGCTGATCAAGGAACCGCACCTCGCGGCGCCCGAAACAGATATCGATGGCACATCATCCATGTACTTACGGTTAAGGACTATTCGGTTTTTCACAAACATCGATGTTCAGGCACCTGCCAGTACGGCTTTGCCGTACCGTAACCCACCCTCGTACGTACTCATGCCACACGTCAAGATCTTACCTGGCTCTGTCGGCTTTTGCACATATCCTGGACCGTAGATGAGATCAGTACATACTCATGACCCTGGGGTCCGCAGCATAGCCATAGCACTATTCGCAACTTCCTATACTCCGCTTCTAGGCTGTCACGGAAAACAGAAGTCAATCGACCTACGTCCCTTGCACATCTGGACAGCTCACACTGGGCTGTAATTGCATCATTGCGCACGCAGCTGCAGCTATTCCCTCACTGAGCGAGGGCCAATCGGCCATCGGACATGACACGCTGATGCCATCACATTCGAATGCCATGACACCAGTCATGGTCGAACGTGTGTTACTGAACGTATAGTCAGCAAGTGCTAGTGTGCGATTGGCGCCGAGGATGACGGGATGTGGAAGATGGTTATGATTTGTGATAGCTTCTGTGGATCAAATATCTTTCGTTAATTGCCAAAATCTGGACCACCTAGATTCCAATACATGTTACTCGATTACTATGGTGCGTGTCACTTATGTGGTCACCGCTGTCCAATTTTGTCACCAGGAACAAGCGCGCAATCCACAGGATTGAACCAGGCTATGATTTATCACCGGGCCCTTTCCCTATTACCCTATTTTACCTTGCCAACCTTCTACAGTTTGCACATGTTTGTTCATGGTACGGAAAGTCGAGTTAATTTACCGCTGTTAGAGGTGACTCTCGATATCCGATACAGGCATGTACTTATTGAGAGTGCGAACCCCATAAAGCCTGTGGAGCGGTGTGTATAGATCTTTTCATCAAATATTGCAAATATTGACAAGAATACCATCACGCGTACAGAAGCCACGTGTTCCCAATCCAGTTGGAAAGGATTGAACGGCCCAAGGCAGCCAAAGTGTAATGCTTCGGACGCCTTCGCTCGTTCAATTACATTCTAAATATAAGGGCTCTTGGTCAGAAGAAAAAATGACTAATTTGCCATTAACTCTAAGGAACCTGACTCATTGGTGTCAAGATCTTACGGTTTGTCATTAGTATTGTTTCTTCGTCTGACAACTTGATACCCGTAAAATCTGGCAGAGATTCCAAGGACGTCAATTAGTGCTAGCGACAGTGCATCAATCGAGGGCCCTCCTTGTCTTTGAAACCAATCGGTTTTACAACAGGAAGCTCGTGTGGCCGGTGCAGGAGTTTGCTCCCAAGGAAAAGCGTTGCGGCTTTGCTCGACTACCTTGTAGGCTGCGAGTCCATTCGAGTTCCAATCACTTGCGGATCAAAATCCGCCAGTAACTGGAACTCTGTGCCACACGATAATCAATATTACTGAAACTTGAAGGGGGTATCAAACTGAAACTCGTGACCAGCAGACCCAGGTTTAATGGATGGATGAGCTCAAGCAAGAAAATCATAGGAAAGGTGGGTTAGTTATGCTATCGAAATTTGAGGTCTGATATATAACGGCCCAACGACCCCGGTGGGAAACATGGAAGATCTCTTCCAGAATTCAGAACCAGAAGTCCACCACGGCCAGTCATTTATCCGGATTGAAGATCTTGGATGGCGTCCTACAAACTGCAATAGTGCACTCGGCAGTCTCGACTACATCCGACTTGCAAGTTTCTTCGGTGAACTCTATGTGTTTAGCGCGTTCACTTGAGTGTGAATCTACGCGCACGCCAAGGTGAATCAGAATAGTAGCTGAGCGCCCCCTTCAAACGCCGAGTGACTAGCCTTGTATAGTAGCAGAATTCTCTACGTGCGCTGTGCTCGAGCTTCTAGGTCACTGGCAGCCTCCGATATCCCAGTATATATGCACCTGTGACTGACCTTATAAGGCATGGAGCGGCATTGGACGATGGACATGCTGTTCTCCTGGTCTTTAATCAGCACAGACACCTTTCGAGGAACTCGTGTTGATTGATATCAAAAAGGCGATTCTCGAGGGATCAGAATACTATGTGGATCCTGCGCCGTCGGTGTCGGAGGAAGCACGCGGAAGCGGAATCCTTTATTCAGACGGGCACCGTTGCCATCAGGATACTCTTGAAGGTATCCTACCACAGCCTACTACAGCCTGACTTAACGTAGTAGTATGTATCAATTCCCACCATGAGTCGGTGACCAGTTCAGGGTTGCCCCTAAATTTGGATTAAATCGCTTGTTGGGCCAAACCTAAACCTTATATTGGAGCACGTATCAACTAATGACCTACAACTTGATCCCTATCATAGAATAAGATCTGATGAGCAAGTTTGGTCTGGGGACCTCGGCTTATACTGGCCCCACCAGTTTCATTTAGCATGAGACACGTGTATTACGGCTTGATGCACCTTTGTCGATTGGGTCCACTACTGTTTTAAAACTTCGAGGAGAAAAGCTTACAGTAATCGAGCCAATACGAGCTCTCGTTATCGATCGTATGACATGATATCGAATCGATTAATATTGTATTTCGAAAGAAGATCAATATGAAAATAAGTATCTCTACAGTGCCAGTGCATTCGGACCGAGTATTAATGTTCATTCGCAATAAACTGTTGAAAAAAACGGCCAACGTGTGTCAACGTGAAATCATGAAACGTCATGGTAAAGGAGCTTACCCTTTGTAGAACAAATTACTATGCGTACAAGAGTTCTCACATATTCCCAATCTTACTCTTCCACGTGTGCGCTTTCTCGAATCCGTTACGACCCGTTCGGTCTGGATATCAGTATGGACATTTGTTGAGCACCTTATCAAATATTCCAGCGAACCACTCACAGTCCATCAATGTCCTCTGTATTTCCTCCTGATTCGTCATGACAAAAGGACCGTATTGGAAAACAGTCTGATCGAGAGGCTCCCCAGCGACCTTTTACCGAAACAAACTCAGGAACGATCCTCTATAAAGACAGTGTACTTACCAAGACAAACGAAGTGTCGTCGGTTGCAGCTGTTAGTCGCACACCAGTCTCACCGTCCGCATTAGAAAGAACGAGTGTGTGGAAAGCATCATTAACAGGACCGCTTTCACCGACGCTCACTGCACCCTTCAAAACTAAGGAGAAACGTCAGTCCTTGACAGAGCCAACACATTCGACCAACATACTGTAGATGAATGCTGTCCAACCGGCAGCTGTCGACAGTGTCAACGAACTCCAAGCATAACATCAAAGAATACATACGAATGTCTTGGAACATGGTTGCGCCGTTCTTCATCAACATGTGGAAGTACCAGCACCCGCCAAGTGGTCGCACAGGTGACTCAACGCCATGGCTCTTCCCACTAATGACTTTAATACTGATATTGCCGTCTTTGCCTTCAGGGTACGCTACTGGAATGCTGGCAAACCAAGCGTCAGAGAAAAAGAAAGAGTTTTCAAAGCTCGTAAATAATCGACATACTCCTCAGGGTCCATTTCTTGATAGGTCGGCTCCTATTTCAAACGCGATGATAAAGACCAGACCCTCAACGCCCTACTAGACTTACCGTCATCTTGACCTGTAGCACGTTCGTCAGTTGTGTTATCACACAGCAACATAGGCATGGGACTAACGTCCTTTGGTAGGTCTACCCAAAGCTGCATCCCTCGGGGCTCGGGCACGTTCTTTCCATGCACGGGCATCTCCGCGTGAATGATCCCCTTTCCCTGCATGACGGGCCAGTTGAGATTGACGGCGCATACAAAAAAAGTGCTGTTCACTAACGGCACTCATCCATTGGACACCGCCGGTCTTGATGGTCCCTGTGAAGTTGTATATGTCAACACATATCAAGATAAATCGAGAGAAACAGGCATACCAGAATGTCCTGCGGAATCCTCATGGCGACTTGATCTTTACAAAACATCACATCACGCCCGCAGCACATGCCAGAAGTAGCAATTACTTACCCTTCGAGCATATACGTTACGGTTGCCTGACCACGATGGGGGTGGTCGGGAAATCCCTGTATAAATAATTGTATGATCTGTATTGCGCCCACACAGGACAGGAAATCAACTTACGGCACCCTCGGACACATGGAAGTGATCCAGCAACAAGAAAGGCGTCAAATTGCGCAAGCTCGCGCTTCCGATGGATCGTCGTACGAGTGCTCCAGCACCCTAACAATTGGATATAAGCCGCTTCGGAGATTAACAATCGTTGAAATAGACACACCTCAGGTGTCTCAACAGCCAGCACCTTCTTCACAACACTCCTAGATATCATGTTCAAGGCCATTTCGGGTGACTCGAGCTTAAGAACCGGGATAAGAGACAGGAAGAATAAGCTGGTGAGATTAACAATGGTGGGCAAACGGTGGATTCTGAATCTCGAATAGAAGAGACGACGTGTGAGACGAATTTATATACCCGTCGCTCGCTTGCTTGGTAAAGGAGCTCGATCAGCGACAGCGCTC